GGTTGTATTAAATTATATTTTCATATATATATAATTTTTACGTTTTATTGCATTTACATATATATTGAATAATTTTTAATATTATTTAATTAAATATTAATAAACGACATCGCTCTTACTGATTGTCAACGATCAATGGTCGTTGATCAAAATTCAATCCGCCACACTGCCTCAAGGGAGATGGCGGAAGGGGACAAGATATTGTTTTTCTGCTTGTCCAGATTTTTAAAGTTTCTACCTAAAATGCTTTCAATGATTTATCTGTGTCCACATCCACTATCAAAATATGGGAAAACAATTTCCCTTACCTAATACTATAACTTACACAATATGTGATATCAATAACAATAGGCAACAAGCCGATGGTTTCTGCCTGAATTGAAGCAAAGATCTTCAATAAGCTATAATAAAGCCCGGTCGATCTATTAAGCCAAACGATATATTTGAAGACGATCGAACTCTAAAATCAGGTATGGAGAACAGCAATTTTCTGGGTCAACCCATCGACCTCTTCGCTCTGCTCTGGAATTGAATCTTCCTGTCAAAAACAATTAAGTTAACCAATTAAAACATATTAGTGACAATTCTCTCCCATTCTTATCAAAGAAATCTTTCTTAAGTTCAATATAAGATGGCATGCAAATCACATCGAAGAAGATTTAGCTCCTATTTGGCCTCCATTTCTTAACTCACATTTTTTTTTTTTTTCAAACTCAATTTCAATCACAAATTTCATAAGACTCACAATTTTTGTCAACTTTTCAAGCACACATTTCATCAAGTTTAATGAAAATCTACTAAAAATCTGATATTTATCAAAACCAAACCAAATAGGGGATTAGTACCAAGCAATGACTCAACTATCAACATAAATGATTAGGCATTGAATAGTAAATTCCAATAGAATTGCGAGTAAAAATGGCACGAGCAATTAAATCACCTCTGTATTGTTTGTTGCTTGAATGCCAATACATTTAGATGCACTGATACTAGCACTCTTCAACAAGCTACGAGCAGCAGAATATGTTCCACTTTCTGTATTTGAATTATCTGTTCCCTCAGCTTTGTTGGGAGGACTTTGAAGAGTTGAAGCAACAGACGCTGAAGTTCGTTTTTCAAAATCATTATCTTGAACGGCTGTTTCATCCTTGACCACAGGGACTCGTTCTCTGAAGGTACAGCAGAAGGTAAAATATTAATATGACCGTCCAAATAGTGACAAATTTTCCAGGTTTGAAACAATGTAAGCCATCCTGATATGACCTAGGTCACATAACTCTGATCCTAATAGTAGCAATCCAAACCCAACTTCTGCTATTGATTTTATTTTTATCTATGCTATCTTAAAGATAAACTATATCTTTTTAAAACCACGACACATGCTCTCTATGGGTAGCTACAACTCCTAAATGACTTTTTTATACAATACTTTCCCGAGTAGTGATGATATTAAACCGTGAGATGCGCTCTCTGACGTGCATAATTTTCATAAATAGAGGACCATGAGACTTGTCAAACTTGTACCAAGGAGTTTGCCTAACTTTGATAAATTGTTAATCACTTCATCAAAGATCTTAAACTGTTAGAGAGTGATCACGTGTATTCATATAAATCTTGTCTTAGACACTTGCATACATTCAAACCAAGCTCCACAACTTTTATCATTTTTTCAACCACACATTTCATGATTTCATCAACTAAAAATCTGATTTTTAGCTTTAGACCAAACGGGGGCTAAGATTAATAAATCAGAATTCGGAAACGGATGAACAAATATATATGAAAACAATATTCACAAAAAAGATTAAAATAAGCAAATGCAATATAGATTTTTTCATAATAACGTAAAATAGCCATATCAAATAAAAACTTCAAAGTGGATATTTGCAATCATAAAAACATTGATGTTCTCCACCTATATATAATCAACAGGGTAGTAAATTATGAATACCTAATTAACTTTTACTGTAAAACATTCAAGAAGAAAATAAGATTTGATTTAGTAGTACACTCAACAGCCAACACATAAAACCTTTAAGAAAATAAAGCATAATCAACTTCATACCTAGGCAATGAAGCATGCTGCCTTTGGAGCGGAGTGTTTCTTCCGCCTTTACCATGATGCTCCTCGAGATGTGCAAACTGTCGCTTGAATCGATCAACGCCACTAAGAAACATAGCATGAGATCAGCTAATATATCACAATTCTCACTAAATAATTTATGAGCAAAAGAAAATTTCTGCAAAATAAGTTACAGCCATACAGAGATTATATTTTTGAAGAGGTTAGCAATATTAATGAGTGAAATTATCTCCTACCCAAAAGCTTATATACTTGGTAAACTGAAAAAACAAGGAAGAAACAGTGCATGCCTATTACTTTCAAAAAGCAGTTACGAAGGAAAATATTCACATAATTTAAAGTGTATATCACCTACAAACACCATTAAGCATATAAAGCAGTAGATAGTTTATTTTGCAATAAAATCTTAAAGTCAATTAACATAATAAACTAATGCCTAACCTTGGGTACATAAAGCCACTAGTCTGATCTCCATCTCGAAGATACTCCTCAAGCATCTGAGGGTGATACTCTAAAATCTGTTTGGTTAAGATAAAAGTATTTTGAGTTAGGAAAAGAAACCATTCAGCGAACCAACAAAAAAAAATTACTGGGCAGCAAGTATATGCTGAAAGGCCTACCTCTCGATAAATCAACTCTCTAACATCATCTTTTGTCAATTTTTTCTTCTCAAACTCAAACTCAAGCTTTGATATGGGTTGACTGGTTGGCTCACGATCCACATTTGCTAATCCATGAAAGTAAGGATCAGCTAATGCCTGCAAAATAAAAGTCCAAAGAGTTAACAAAATTGCAGATAGTAATCAGGTTTAAAAAAAAGTTCCCAATTATAGCGAACTTAACAAATACTGGTCATTGAATGTCACCTCTTCTGCAGATGGTCTATCCTTAGGATCAAAAGCAAGCAGGCGTTCCAGCAAGCGAAGAGCCAAAGGATCGACATTTGGGAACTTCTGTGTGAATGGAACGGGCTGTTTTTTCCGCATACTGCTGAGATATCTTCTTGCCTTCTCATTTCTGATCTGCCATTTTAATGATAAAATATATTGTCATAAAGGAACATAGAGGATTCATTGTAGCCTCTTGAAATTATATTAACTAGACTAATGCAGCAATAGTCATATAAAATAGGAGTTGGTATCTATAGAAAATATAATATGAGGAAGATAAAGGAATGGAGTAACTAACCTTTGCAATTGATTCAGAGGGAGGAGTACCAAGGAAATCCGTCATTAGATCTAATTGGTGCACCACATTTTTACCAGGAAACAATGGTTTTCCAGTAAGCATCTCCGCATATATGCATCCGATGCTCCAAATATCAATAGCAGGGGTATACTACAAAATGGAAATGTAAATGCATTAATTAATATAAAATAATTTTCAATCACACATTTTTCAATAAAATAATATTTTCCATCACATCAATAATTTTTTCTTACTTTTTAACCACATATTTTTCATCATATCACTATTTAAAATACATTTTTTCCTTAACAACATCCATCAAACACACCCTTAGTTTTCGAAATTCCACTCTTGCAAGAATTGTCATCTGGTTGTCAAATCAATAGAGCTTATATTTGTAAAAATTACATAGTGTTTTTCCTGCTAAAATTAAATGCAGCTTAGGGACGCAGAATCTTGGGGGCGGATGCAATCTTTATCATATTCTCCCATATATTATACCCTCATTTTCCATACAGACGTAAGATAACAAATATAAGTTATTATTTAGAATGAACTGACTCACAAAATTACAAGAGCCGAAGGGATGATTGATCACTCACTACGACTGAACAGTCAAATGGGATCAACGAAGTTTTAAATTCAAAAAGTAAGAAAAGTATCAACAAAAAAATTGTTAGTCCGCTAATAGTATATCCAATACTAATGGTCTAAATAAACTATTAATCAATGTATGCTAGCGTTTGTTGAGAAATAAAGTGAAAAGTAGAAGCAATGAGAGAAACTTTAGATTGGCTTTATTCAAACGAGTCCCTTTTTTGCATTTAAAAAGTAGTATAGACATATAAATCCGAGTGCAATTTTTAGTAACTGAAAAGTGAATAAACAAAAAGAAATGTTGGGAGATCAGCATAAATATCAGCTTACTTTAGAGAAAAAGGAGCCGCATAGCTCAGGAGCACGATACCATCGGGTTGCAACATAGTCCTATAATAAATAAAAGAATGTGAATAGAAATTAAAATGTTAAGAAGTGATTACAAAGACTTTTGGAAGGGAAAAATGAAAGAAAATGCAAAAGTTTTGTAAAAACTCAAACTTACAGTCCAAAAAATTGCTGATGGAGCATCATTAAATGACACTCGGGCAAGACCAAAATCACAAATCTTCAACTTACAGTCGGCATTAGCAAGTATGTTTTTGGGCTTCAAATCCCGGTGAAACACATTAGCTACAAGTAAAGGAAAAGGCATGAGAATTGTAAGCACGAAATTTTTCTTTGGGAGGCATGGAAAGAATAAGAAGAATAAAGGGGTGATTTTGTATCGTGTAAGACAATAAACCTGCGTGAATATATTTTAATCCTCGCAGAAGCTGGTAGAGGAAAAATTGATAATGCTCAGGTGATAGATCATCATTAGCCTTAATTACTTGATGAAAGTCAGATTCCATTAATTCAAAAATGACATAGATATCTCTGAATTCTCTTCGAGAAGGTGGAAGCATAATGTGCTTTATTTGCACAATATCGGGGTGATGAAGAAGCCGAAGGAGTTTGATTTCTCTAAGAATTCGTGTGGCATCAGAGACATGGTCAAAGACATCATTGATCTTCTTGATTGCAACCCTTTCTCCACTATGAGTATCAATTGCGGACCCCACAACACCGTAACTCCCTTTGCCTACAACTTCTTGAATCTCATATCTGTTTGCCTCCCCGTACTCCGTGAAAAATTCCTTTTCTAGTGCACTCTGTAAAACAATTACCCCATTAACTATGCAATTACATGAGCATATAAACTAAAGGAATTTTTTTTAACTCAAAAAGAAATCCTTTACGGGGGAGAGGAGGGATGCTAATTCTTTTTTCTCTCTTATCGCCAAGAGATGAAGGAAAGATGCTTCATCTTTTTCACACCTTTTACATCATTACAACAGCAAAAAGAAAAAAAATAAAAATAAACACTTGCTACAAAAACCATAAAACATTATGGATGCAACAACCTTAAAACATGCCAAAATTATATCTTTCTGGTATTAAATAAATGAATGTCACTCATGCAGCAATTATAATTTATAAGTCCACATTCTATGAAAACACCAACTATTTAACCAGAATCCTACCATAACATCTTTCTTCCTCCGTGTTTCCTCTAATTACCCGTCAAAGGAAAAGATTTCAAATGTTTCAAAAATCAAAATTAATCGAGGCTATATCAAATCATCATCTAAATTTAACAAGACTGAAATATAATTCAAAATGAAACAATCCCAAAAAAACCCATCAATTTCAAAATTCATAGATAATATTATGCAGACAGCTATAGCAGTTTAAAAAAATAAAAAAAATCAACAAGATCTATATCAATGTCTGTCGAAAACGAAAAAAAAAACAAGGATTAAATCAAAGAACCCAGAAAAAAAGACACCTTTTTGATTGGATCCATGGAAGAAGAAGAAGTGGAAACAGGAAAATTAAATCTATTAGGGACTTTGATAGGCTTGAGACCAGAAAAATCGAAGTCTTCAGTAATGACAAGCCCCTCTTCTCGTTCGTGTAAACTTGTCAAATAACCTTTGGCATTATGATCGACAACTGAATTACTAGTACCAAGTGTTGATGAACGACGATGAAACAAGCGACGAAACCCGTCCACGAAATTACCACCCCCCATATAACTCATAACAGACCACAATATTCTTTCCTACTTTTCTGCTAAACTGTCTATTCGGTTCTTGATTCTCTTCCACTCAGTCTCACCATTGCCCGCTTCTATCTCTCTCTCTCTCTCTCTACAATTTTTTTCTGTTTTTGTGTGTGTGGTGCGGATACTTTGGGTGTGCTGTGGAGGAGGCGCGTAGCGGCTTAAGGTTTGGTTATAAATTCAGACAAGACGTGTATGATGATGATGTCTTATCCCTACTAAATAAAAGAGCCACTTTCCAATTTACTGTTCACACTTTCGTCCCTATGAAACGACGCCGTTTTGGCATGAAACGACACCGTTTTGGCATGAAAAACAAAAAATTAGTGGAAGAAGCCGCTAGAAGAACACGTGCCTTCCTACCAAATGAAAGAGAGAGAGAGAGACTTTTGACGCATAAAGAATGTGTGGTTAAAATTGAAAGAAATTTTATCGGTTTATGTGTAGAATATTTTATTATTTGAATGTGTGGTGGAGATTGATTACTGTAGAAAACAATGTTTTGAAAAATGGTAGACAAACAGGGGCTAAATGTGAATGCATGAGTAGCAACAACTCACAATTATTCACTACAGTCTGGATTTTTTTCCCACTTTTTTTTTAATAATAAAAAAACCCATGTGTGGAGAACTATTACAGGAAAATTTGGTAAGAGGTTCGAGAGGTGGGAAGCTTCCATTAAGGGATGGGGGCGGGGGACTGGACCGGGCTGTAGTCCAGCCCAAATCCAAGTTAGGAGGTTTTTTGTACAAGCCCACTTAAAAAATTCAGCCCATTCCAACTAAACCCAAATGTCCAATCCATTTTTTTATAACCCAACCCAATTACCCAAATATCAATATCAAAATCTCATTCAATCATCTTCATCAGCCGATTCAACCCTAAATTGAATTGAAATTGCAATTCCCACGTACCTCAAATCATCTCTCATAATCTCTCTACGAAGCCCGAATGTTGGTTTTTTTCTTGCTAGTTTAATAATTTATATTTGGTAATTTCTCAAATCGAATCCGTCCGACCATCCCTGATTTTTTCTTGCTGGTTTTGTTCATTGAGTGATAGAAAAAATGTAAAATTCGAACCAAACAAGGGCTCATACTTATGAGGTCCTTCACCTGTTAGTACAATGTCAAGGTATAAGTATTGCTTACTATCATTGATCGCTTCTAAAGAAATGTCTAGATTTTCTTATTGAATTGAGCCCCGTTTATGCCACCTTATTTTCTCATTAAAATGAAAAATATGACCGTTATTCATCATATCAACATTTAAATTCAAATTTTCTATCTCTTGTGTGGACCCCAATAACGACTATATTTTTCATTCTCATTCTATAATAATTTGGCTCAAAAATGGCATAAATTAGTAATTTGAAATATTCATTCTCATTCTACAAAAAGGTGTCTCAAACAAGGCCTTGCAGTCTACTATTTTCAGCCTACGGTTGGGAAGAATTTTTTCAAGAAGTGAACATTTTTTGCTCAAAAAATGATATTACAATACTTAATCTAGAAGGTTTGTATAACATTGATTGTTCTAGTAATGAAACTACATTGAGCATTATTATCACTATGATGTCTTCAACGAAGCAATAGATTTTGTGACGATGGAGTTAAGTATAAGATTTAATGACAAGTCGGTGGAACTCCTTTCTCAGTGCTGCTTTGGACCCTAAAGATTCATTTAAATCATTTGACAGTCGTAAAATTTGCACACTTAAAGAGAAATTATATTCTCAAGATTTTTCAAAGCGAGATATTATTACATTAGAATTTAAGTTACCACATTATGGCTTAGATATGAAGGGTGAGCCTCGATTTCAAATATCTACACTTGCTGAGTTATGCAGACACTTGACTGAGAGTGGAAGGTCGGAAATTTACATTATGGTTACTAAATTGATTCGTCTTGTATTGACATTACTTATTTCTACCGCAAGCACTAAGCGAGCATTTTCGGCAATGAAACATGTGAAGACGGCATTTCACAGCAAAATGGAGGATGACTTTCTTGCTGATTGTATGATACTTTTTATAGAAAGAGAATTTGTTGAGAAAATCGATCTAGATTCTATTGTAGATGAATATTATGTTTCAAATCCTTATCGGGAACGACTTAAATAAATAATGTTCTTTAATGAATTTTTTTAGTACATGTAAATTTTATTACATTTGATTTGTTAATTGCTTTCAGCCCCCCTTACAAAAAATCTTGAATCCGTCCCTGCTTCAAGACAAATTTTATGGCTTTCGAACGAGTTACTCTTTGTCCCTCCCTTCTGTCTTAATAGATTCCATTCTCATCCCTAGCATTATTATCGATGAAAACATTTTTCATACAAATACCAAGGAACTTTTCAAATTGATTTTCCATTAACTTTTATTGAAATTTGTCAAACAACTCCTTAGTTGCTATATACGTACAATACAAGCTTTGTGTGCTTGGATTTGTTAACTCATATACACCCGTCATCTTGTGATCGCATATTTGATCATATTTTGTCGAGTCTTAGTATCTATCTTTGTTATCTTATAAGAAGCAAGCGAGGGTTCAAACCCAAGATTTCGAAAATCACATCTTTGATCAATGTATCTACGTAAATGCCCAAATACATTTCATCTATTCTTAACAAAAAATTATGCATGTATCATAAATATAGAGATTCTTACTCCGCCTAAATTGGAAAGTGGATCACTTTGATTCACTATGCAATAATCGAACTCAAAATTGTACATATTTTATTGAATACAATATGTGATCGAATTATTTACCATTAAGTAATTGGAAGTTTTACGTGATAAATGATTCTATTTATGACTTTCAATTGTCCAGAATCATCAAATGAGAGATTAAGTGAATTATGGAAGATTGAACATGAATTTTGTTGTGCTTATTGAAGTTGAAATTTTACAATATTTTCATTGTCTCAGTATTTGGTGAGCATCAAATGACCGTCATGCAGCATAAATTGACATTATTTACGTTCAAGAAAAATAAATAAATAAAATCAAAGGTCTAAGTTGTATGTTTGGTCGTCAGGGCTAATTTAGTCATTTCAACTTCTAGCTCATTTTTGAATCACTCGTACAAGTACTTCTACTATGGAGGTTCAATAAAGCTGTTTGTACAGCTTTTAAATGCTGTACAATGTATAGCTCTCTCACATAATGTCACCCTACATGTGAGAGGACTGTAAGATATGTTGTACAAAAATGTTGTAACAAGTTTGAGGTAGAAGTTGAAAGCTTAAATAGTACTCAAACTTTGCACTGTCTTTCTGTTTAGCAACCTGAACTTTCAATTGTTTCAAAACAGTCACCCGTCTTTATATTTTGTTTTACGTTCGACCCTAGTTCCACTTCATAAAACTAAATTAACGTATTTCGAGTTCGTGGCACATAACTTTTCCCTTTTACGAATACACTTTTCAAGCTCAAGTTTCCCCGGGAAAATAGCGACACATGTTCTAAACTGAATCCCAACCTTTTAAAATGAGTATTCATTGTGCCATTTAATTTTAGTAGCACTAAAGTCCTCTATAGACCAATTCGTGCTAGCTGTTCACTGCTAGGCTTGCTCTCGTCCCCACTTAATACCTCTAGATGATGAGAAATTGGAGATATATTTGGAGTTTTTCACGCGTACATCAATAGTATTGACTGTCTTAATGAGTTTCACTCATGTGTTGACGGATTTTAAGTAAACTAAGAGATTATAATCGATTCAACGTGTAAAACTTTGTCGATTTTACGGTATCAATCGGAATACACATTTCATTCTATACATGTATCGGAAAAAACAAATATGAATTAGTTCAATATGAACAACAATTACTATTTTGTTTAGTGGCTGATACTTCATTAATGTAAATGATCTCCTTTTTTCCTTGAAGTGTTGGATTAGTTGCTTCCTTTGTCTTATTTTGAAGACTTTTTTGACTGGCAATTTCAAATATTCTACCAACCATTTGAAGAAATGCCTCTTCCACGTTCACATTTTCTCTAGCAGATGTTTCCATAAAGAACAAATTTTCGTTCTGAGCCAAGCTCTGTCCCTCTTCTACATTAACTTCTCTAGAGTGACTCAAATCAGATTTATTGCCCAAAAGAACAATAACCATGTCCGGGCTAGTGAATTCACGTAGCTCGTGCAACCATTTCTTCAAATTCTCGAATGTTGGCCTCCTAGTTGTGTCGTAGACTAGTAAGGCACCTAGAGCTCCACGGTAATATGAACTTGTAATGGCTCTAAATCTGCACAAAATATCGATTTTCGTATTAAAGACTGTTGTATTATTCCCACCTTTTCACCTACCGTATGGATATGCTAGAATATCTAAACTGGGCCACATGGACCACTCATAACCCCTTTTTCAACATATACATTAAGAGGCATGGTTTGGTAACATAAACCATTGAATGGATCATGAAATAGTCCTCAAAACTTCCTTCGCAAATGAATTCCTCATGATTGCAAAAGATCTTCACGAATTTTCAATAAATCTAACTTTTATTTTTGTATGATCTAAGTTCTGCGGACACACTCACTATATATAGCAACTAATCGAACACGACTGAGCCCAAATTTATTGAGAATTATACTTTGTTTATTGTAATTGAGACATGATGAGAAAATATGTGAAGTGAGGAAGAAAGAGGAAGATATAACCTTTCTTGGCCAGCAGTATCCCAAATCTGAGCCTTGATGAGCTTATCCCCCATCTGAATATTCCGATAAGCGAATTCGACTCCGATGGTTGGCTTGGAGTCTAAATGAAATTCATTTCTAGCAAATCTTGAAAGAAGATTGGACTTCCCAACTGCTGAATCCCCAATAAGAACAGCCTTGAATAGATAATCACACTCTTCTTCAAATGAATTTGCCATATGCACAAATTGAATAGTTTACAGAAGTTGAATTTGAAAGATACAAGGAACAATATGAGTACCCTAGGCACGGCTTCATGTAAT